TCTATGATAAAAATAACAAAAGAAGATAGCATTTTAACTTTAGGTTAAGTTTTAGTAAAATGAAAGTTAAAATGAAAACTAAAAATATTAAAATAAAAGCTCATTCCAAATATTAATACTAATATAGTATATAAATAATACTAAAATAACACCATGTACTGTTACAGCATACTACAGCTGTAATGTTTACAATAAAAAGGACTGAAAAACAGAAAAATAAAGGCAGTGCATAACATAGAAAGAAGTTACAATAGGAAAGCCCACAAGAGATAAAGAAAATGCATAAAATAAAAAATACAAGAGAAAAAGCAGAGGAAATGTTTGTGTTCACATATTCTTATAAGGAAAGGTAAGAAATAAGGAATATAAAAAAGAAAGAATGCATAAAAGAGGGGTGAGGGAGGAATGAGTATGGGTGATAGAGCAGTGTGATGTTATTAAATATCTGTCAGCGATTAAGAAGGATCCAGGGTGTCTAGAATAACCCAACTGCATGGGCCTGTCCTCCTATTTTAAACAACAGAAATGACACAAGTGTGTGTAATTATTTTTTTAGATTCTTAAAACAGCTGAACACTCTCTCCACCCCACCCACACAATCACTAAATTAAACTACGTCTGCTTTAAACTACACACTTGTTCTTTCTCTGGAAGCTATTCAGTCCTTGAAACCAAGTATGCAAAAGCTGTGGTCACAGTAGACCACAGTTGCTTGTGCTCCATTGACTTTAATTCATATGTATATGAAATCCAAGACTGATGAGTGTCACGTCCAATCACAGGTCACCGGGAAGAGAGGCGAGGGAAAGGTGCCAGGAGGTGCATGCGCAGAGGTGTTCGCTGCAGGAGAATATGAAACCAGCATCATTCAGGAGAAACAGGATGGACTTCAGACACAACAGGACCTGACTGACATCAAACCAAGCGAACAGAATCTCAAACTCAATGTAAGAAGGAACACAACTTAATAAAAATTAACATGGCTAAAATTTTATATAGTAACATAATGAAAAACATCTATCTTTTCATTTTTCTTAGGTTGACCGATCAGGAAAGCTAAAACTAGAAACTGTTGAAGACCTCTTCAACATTTTGCAGCTGAAGAAGAGGAGAAAGGAAAGGAAGATTCAAGCATCAAAGAAACAGCCAGAGCCTGATATCCTGGTGAGGAACTTCTTCCATAATGCGTTACAAATGCGGCTATATTATTTTAAGATGGTTATATCATAAAGATTTCAGATTTAATTACTGGCTAACATTTTTCAGCCAGAAACAGTGGACCAGGCTTTGTTCCTAAAGGCTGTCACCGAGAATAAACTGCCTGTTGTTGAGAAATATTTATCAGATGGTGGAGACCCCAATGCTTGTGATCATGTGAGTGTGTCGTCTAACACTTTCCTTCACTCGTGCTGTTAAGTCTTCCAGAAACAAAGGGAGAGTTCACCTAAAAATGACAAAAAAAGAAATTTTGAGGAATGCTTCAGTTTTTAAGTCCATAAAATGGAAGTCAACGAGCATTCTTCAAAATATCATCTTTTATGTGCCACGGAAGGTTTGGAAAAACATTATGGTGAGTAAATGATTAACAAATTTTAATTTTTGTGTGAACTATCCCTTTAAACTCGCACCTGTGTTTTTTCAGTATATTTATATACTATTCTATAGCTGTATAGCTATTATTATTATTGTTTTTTTTAATATTTCGTTTTAATACATTTTTATTTCCGTTTTAGTTATTTTGGTAAAAATAAACTTATTTTATTTTATTTCAGTTACTGTAGTTAGTTACAAACATTTAAAGTTTTATTTTTTTTAGGTTTTTCATCTAATATTTAAATTTTATTTTGATCCTCTTCATTTAAATGAGCAATCAAGAAATGAACACTTTTAGTAACAATAACAACACCGACTCTCACTTGTTCTCTCTCTTTCAGTTTAAGCGCTCAGCTCTGCATAAAGCCAGTGCCCAAGGTTACATAGAGATCATGCAGAAGCTCCTGGAGAGTGGAGCATCCATGGATCAAAAAGACAAGGTAGCACAGATGGTGGATGTGACTGTTACACCAGTGCTACAGGAATATTATCTCACATTTATTTTTTATTATAATTCTGAGATGCAATTTCTCTGTCGCATGTTCATAGCTGGATGCCACAGCTGTGCACTGGGCCTGTAGAGGTGGAAGCCTGCCTGCCCTGGAGCTGCTTCTCAATAAAGGAGCCAAATTCAACTCCAGAGACAAGGTAGATAGAAAGCTAATGCAGGCATATGACACCAAATGGATCTTTGGACAGTGATAATAACATTCACAAATCATTCTCATGCTTTTTGTAGCAAACAATCATGAAGCATTTTTATCCTTCTTGTTCTTAAACAGCTATGCAGCACTCCCCTTCATGTTGCAGTTCGGACGGGACATTATGAATGTGCTGAGCGTCTCATTCATTGTGGAGCTGATGTAAATGCCAAAGACAGGGTAAGAATTCTTTTTGCGCTTTATTCAAATATTTTTCCAAAATATTCAGAATCTTTAATATGGTATGTTAAACTGACAAATTTTTATGTAATTCTAAATAACAAATTTATGATATTAATGCATTGTCCCACATTTTGTTTTTCTTCTCTAATGCCACTGCATTGTGTTTGTGTAGGAGGGAGACACACCAATGCACGACGCAGTGAGGATAAATAGATTTAAAATGATAAAACTGCTGATGGTGTATGGAGCCAGTCTAAATGCCAAAAACAATGTAAGTTCAATTAGGGTTCATACAATCCTTATATGACATTGAAGTTTACATAGTGCCCTCTAGAGACAGATTTAGCCACTACATGATTCTGTTTAAAGGGGTCCTATTATACTAATTTACAAAGTCTTGATTTTGTTTTGGGGGTGTACTAGAACAGGCTCTCATACTAGGTTGTTCGAAAAACACATTATTTTTCACATATTTTACATTATTACAACACCTCTCTCCCCAGTCTGGCATGAACGGCTCGAATAGTTCCTGTATCAAATGAAGGCCCGCCTTCTGAAATACGAAATGTGCTGTGATTGGTTAGCTGGGCCAGTGTGTGCTGTGATTGGTTAGGTGGGTCAGTGTGTGTTGTGATTGGCAGCATTCGGCACCTGGTTGGGAAATGTCATGCCCCTTACCATACCCGCCTACAAGCTTCAGTGTAAATATTGCGTCAAAATCAAATCAATTTAAGCGCGATTTAAACCACTCTAAGTTCGTCTGCCTTGGGAACGCTAGCGTGTCTCCGACATAGTGATAAGTGCAGCTCAACCAGGTCTCATCCCATTCGTCGATATTTGTGAGATCACAAATCCCAGAAAATATGCGTTGTTGTCCAAACGAGTCGTTCGTTGTAGTTTTTGAAAAGTGATTTCTGTTAAATAAAATATCTTCTTTTGGAGATTGGACTTTGAGCTTGGTAACTTTGCAGATATTTTTTATGCTCAAACAGCAACATTACAGACTAACTAAAGTTGAAAAAGTGAAAAAGCATAAATAATAGGACCCCTTTAATGCCCCAATACTGACTCTCCCCAATATCAAAAAGAAGATAAGCAAAAAGATATATAATGCTTTATTATTTTATGACTAAATGACAGTGGATATAGCCAGTGCAAAAAGAACTCATACTGTGAGTATTAGTTAGTAAGTCTGTTTAAATATGTGTATATATTTAGTGGATATATCCTAAAATTATCTGTCATTTACAGGATGGAAAGACACCAATGGAGACTCTGCTTTCATGGCAGAAAGGTGTGAAAAACATCCTGAATAACTTTAATGAAGAGGAAGCACCATATCCAAATGAACAACTTTTAAACATCCGTCCCAATGCTGAATTGTTATAAAATTATTTTCTTTCTTTCTTACATGTTAAACATTAAACTGAACAGTACTTTGCAATTTGCTTAATGATGACGCTATTTGCTGGCGATAGAGCGTTATTTGTAAATATTGTTATCTCACTTGATTTTGAGAGCAAAGAATCTTCGGTGAGTGGCACAAAACATGAACACGTGTGAGGGGTTGTATGTTGGTTTGCTTGTTCAGGGTAATTATTTAATATGATTTTAATTTCATAACTTGTGACTGCATTTAAAAAATGTCCATGGCAGTTTGATCTACTGGGGAAATGTCTAGACAGACTTGAGGCGGAACTGTAAATGTTCAGAAATGGAACAGAATGCGAATGCTGGTCTGAGAATGTTTATGATGGATATTATTGTAATTGTTTTGTAATTTTGGACTGGATTTGTGAAAGACTTGGGCACTGGGTACATGGAAATCCCTTATGAAATGTGCATTGGTAAATGTGCTTTGTAATCCTTTCTTTTAAACCCTTAAAAGTAATTGTGAATCATTTTAATCAAATGTGAATAAAGTGTTTTGGTCACCAAGTGTTTCCCGAAAGTTATTTGTGAGTTTTCTTTATATTAGACATATTCTTTTGGTTTTTATGTTAATGACAAAAATATGGACAGCATAAACTTAATTTGGTTTATTGGGAAGTTTTATATTCTTTATATAGCCTACACAAACTGTAAATGCTACTTTAATGTCTCCAAGCAAGAACTGAGTTTGTATCTAGGCCTCAACATCTATTAATAAGGTAATCTAGTCATAGTATACCATGTTTGATGTTCTTTCTGAATGATTTGCGCACCCTTTTTTCTTATCCTATCCTATTTCTATCTACTTGCTCGCTTATTATCTTTTTTTACTTACTAATTTAATTACTTTACATTGTACTTTGGTTTGGTATTTTAATGTGGCAATGTTTTTATTTGTATATGTTATGATTTATTCTTGTATATAGAATTTGCATTATTAAAAAGCGTATTTCTACTAATTTAAAAAAAATACACTTAAAAAAACACAGCAAATAAATCGAAAAACCAAACCAAACGCTAAAAACAAGCAGCAATCTGATTCTAAGAAATGCGCAGTCCAACTTCTGCGCATTTATAGCGTGCACGAGCACGCACTCCCAGCAGCCTTTGCAGTTGCTCGCGCTTATCCGATTGGTGGAATTTGAAAATAAGTACGCGCGAAGTTAAAGGCAATATAATACACACTATCCTTTGACAATTATGTGAGTCAACTAAATTAACTTGTTTTAATGCGCATGTTTTGCTGTCCTGTTCTTTTTTTGTGAGAGGTTGAGGTTATGAGTTCGGGTGGGTCTTAATGTCATTTTTTGTTGTTGCCAGGTTTACTTATAAAATATCTATAAAAACTGTGTAATTGTCTGTTAAAATTAACATAAGATTATACTATTGACACAATGCAAAAATAAAAATGTGTTATTACTGTCAGATGTGATTAAAGGGTTGTCAGAAGTATGCTCTGGATCTCAGAGGCTGTTATTTTATCCTCCTCTTTTTTGTCTTCTCATATGTTTTCTTAGAGCAATATGATGGAGTCAGGGCTAAAGGATGAGAAGGCAAGACCTGAGACGATAGCTGTGGAAGATTTAAGGAGAAATCTGTCCTCGGAGTTCAGCGAGTGTTCAGATTTCCAGGTAAGATGACTTTATGAACATTACTACAGGACCCTGTGTGATTTGTACATTGTGATTTATGAAATAATCATCAGAAATGTTTTGAGCCTTGATGTTTCTTTTGAAGGACCCATCTGACCTGGAGAAGGAACACTTGAAGGTGTATCTTAGGATAAGACCATTTTCAACAGCTGAGATTGAGAATGGAGAATCACAGGTGAAAATAAGGATTAAGGGATACAGCACACATTTTCAATGCCCTAAAATGCAGACCCTCATGCAGAAATGTTTTATTTTGTTAGGAACAGTATTTTTAAAGGGTAAATGCCCCTGAAGATCCGTTTCAAATATTGCCTCTAAATAAAATGATTAGTCTGTGCTTTCTCTCTGTGTTTTTAAAGGACTGTGTGGCTACTCAGCCTCCAGAGACTGTGCTCCTCAAAGCTCCACAATCATCTCTTTCTGCCAGGCTCAGCGATAAGTCAATGCCAGTTACAGCTCAACGTTTCCAGTTCTCTCAGGCAAGCAGACCCATCAGCACACAGAGTCTAGATCAGGGGTGTACAATCCTGTTCCTGGAGGGCCACTATCCGGCAAAGTTTAGCTCCAACCCCAATTAAACACACCTTAACCAACTAATCAAGGTCTTACTAGGCGTACTAGAAACTTCCAGGCAGGTGTGTGAGACAAGTTGGAGCTAAACTGTGCAGGACACCTGCCCTCCAGGACCGAGTTTGGACACCCCTGGTCTAGATTGTGACTGAGCATGTGAGCCAGTAGTTTTCTCTCTTTGACCACCCTGAAAAATCTTCAAATTTGTCTTTGGAAATACTGTTTGAGGTCAAATGTTGTGCACTGTCTTGAGTCATGCTTATAACTTGGTCTTGTATGACAGATTATTCACAAGGTGATATTAACATTGTGGTATTTTTAGGTTTATGGTCCAGACACTACACAGGAGGAGATGTTTGATGGCACAGTGAAGGGTCTTGTGAGGGATGTGTTAGAGGGACAAAATTCTCTGGTTTTTACATACGGTGTTACTAATGCTGGGAAGACCTTCACTTTTTTAGGTTTGTATTTTTTATCTTGTATTGATAGACTGAATTATTTTCTGTTGTAATTGACATAATGTCACAAATGTTGTCAATAGAGCTTAAAAGTCAATGTGGTAATGCTCCAAAACCCATTTTAATTTGAGCAAGTTAAAACAACAGAGGCAAAAAGTTGCTATATTTAAATGAAAGATTACAAAGATTTGTTTTCTTTGAAGTAGAGTGCACTTAATGAATCTTTCACAATAAAGGTCAGGAATGTAAAGTAGGGTCAGTAAATTAAGGTCGGCTTTGATCAGACCAACCTTGTAAAATAGTGTCTGTGTGAATGCAGAAGCAGCAAACAGAAGGAGCGTCAAATCATGTTCAAAATGTTGTATCAAAAATAAAAAGAAGGGCAGGGACAATCTATTCTATCCAATGCTTCTATCCATTGGTTGTTAATTGAATAGAGGCAGATCTGAATGTGTGTTATGGCATTTTGATTAGTACTTACAAGGTCACAAAAAATATTTAAACAAATGAATTGTTCACAATTTGTGATTTGCTTTTGCAAAATACTCATATTCAAGGTTTATGTCCTGATTGTGTTTTAATGTATTAGGTCCAGATACTGATCCAGGCATCTTGCCTCGTTCCCTCAACATGATCTTCAGTAGTCTGGATGGTCGCATCTTCAACCAGATGTGCCTAAAACCCCAGAGGTGCCGGGATTTCATCAGGCTCACCAAAGAGCAGCAAAACGAGGAAGCAGCTGGCAAACGCAACCTGCTCAAGCTTTTTAAAGAGGTACTGTAATGGCAGAGTGAGTTGAACAACCTCTGTTTCAGGGGTGTTTTTCATTTGACTCAATTAGTTTTTTGTCTTCTCTTTAGACTGATGCACAGAAGAGTACGTCTTGCCATAGCTTGAAGTCCGATCTTGAAGGTAAAGAGAATTTTTTTATTTTTTTTTTTAGTTACACCTCTCTAAGGTTGTGGCAGTCTGTTTATGTTGTTTGTCTGGCTGACACATAACTTTCTGGTTCCCTGTTAGATGGTTCCACTTTATGTGATATAAGCTCTGCAGTGAATGAGAGGAGTTTGGTTGTGGATATGGACATACACGCCAAGTTTTCAATTTGGGTCTCATTCTGCGAGATCTACAATGAGAACATCCACGACTTGCTAGAACAGCATTCAAACAATGCTTCACGGAGAACCAACCTCCGTCTTTGTCAGGATGTCAAAGGGAACTCATTTATCAAAGGTAAAGTAGCATCTGTTTCTGTAATATATTTATTGTCATTAAATCGTTACAATGTTTCCATGGAGCTGATGGTTCATCCAAGCCAAAGTTGAACCCTGGCCTGCTGTAATAAAGTTTTGCATATAACAACAAAAATAATGCATGTTGTAAGGGTGCATGTTCATATATATTTCTCCTTTATGCATTTGACAGATGATTTTATCCAAAGAGACGTTCAAGTTATACATTTTATCAGTTCATGTGTTCCCTGAGAATCTAACCCATGACCCTAGAGCCATATGCTGTTTGAGCGAGAAAAGTGAGATTACACTGCAATATTTCTTCATTAAATCATTCCAAGGAGCAATTATATGTCATTTGTAATCATTGAAATGTCTTCTGTTTTGTTTTTTGTCTGGAATAATGTGTAATAGCTAAAACTGGCCAGGTGCTGGTGCTAGAGCAATAAGAAAAAAAAAATGTAGCGATAATAGCATTTCCATGTGTTAAGGGTGATTCAGTCAGTTGTTTTAAGGAAACTGATGTGCTGTGTCTGTCAGATTGTGTCTTTGCTCATAACAGTTAATTTTCTAGATCTGAGATGGGTGCAGGTGAGCAGTGTTGATGAAGCCTTGAAAGTGATGAAACTGGGCAAAAAGAACCAGAGCATCTCTAGCACTAAACTCAACATTCTCTCCAGCAGGAGGTACACTACACAAATTCTGTAACTTCCTGTTGTTTATCCATTTTAACGCAGTGGGTGTTGTATGCATGTTATTCTGAGTTCATGTCCTCTTTGCCTGATTTTTAGCCACAGTATTTTCTCTGTCCGGATCCTGAAGGTGGAAGATGTGGGAATACCCAGAGTGGAGTCAGTCAGCGAGTGAGTCTGTGAATACTGATCTGACTTCTCTGCAGCATGTTTGTATTGTGTTTCAGAATGGTTTGTTAAAGTATTTACTCTGGTTCAAGGCTGGCGCTGTGTGATCTGGCCGGATCTGAGCGATGTGCTAAAACACAAAATAAAGGGGAACGGCTGAAAGAGGCAGGAAACATCAACACCTCTCTACTTAGCCTGGGAAAATGCATCAGTGCGCTCAGAAATAACCAGCAGGCCAGGTATATAAATCTTATTCTTTTTTTCCTTTCCTTTGTCCTTTAAACACCTCTTATTTTGTCTTTTCAGACAGCACGTTCCATTCAGAGAGAGTAAACTCACTCACTATCTGCAGGGATACTTTACCGGCCGGGGCAAAGCCTGTATGATTGTAAACATTAACCAGTGCGCCTCCATGCATGATGAGACAGTCAACGTCCTCAAGTTTTCTGCCGTAGCTCAAAAGGTATGTGACGTCCTAATATGTCTTCATCTCACTCCTTAAAGGGATGCTGTTCATCTTTGAATGTAACTTGAGATATTTTGAATGAAAGCGGAGTGATTTCGGTCCCTCCATTTAAAACTCTATTCCACCCAAACGTTGACGCTTCAAAAAGTTCATGAGATTGTAAAATATACCCATATGAAATATTCTTGGTTTAATCAAGACATTAAAGGGGTCATATGATGCTTAAATTAAAGATCATTATTTGGTGTAACAGAATATGTTGACATGCTTTAATGTTCAAAAAACACATTATTTTTCAAATACTGTACATTATTGTAGGTCCTCTATGCCCCGCCTCTCTCAAATGCTTAGTTTTCTACAAAGTCCCTCCTTCCGACAAGCGCAGTCTGCTCTGATTGGCCAGCTGACCCAGTGCATTGTGAATTTTTTCTCTCTCTCTCTCTCTCTCTCAATGCAATTCAAGAGTGCTTTATTGGCATGACAAAAATTATACATTTGTATTGCAGCTGGACTGCTTACAAATAGTGCACATATGTATTAACAGAAAGAAAAAGAATAATAGTAATAATAATGATTATATATAAAAAGTATTAAGCATGTAGTGCAAAATGAATTAATGTATGTAAGTATATAAACTAGAAATAAAATAAGGGATTAGACAAATTTACAGAAGCAAAATATACATCTAAGTAATATAATACAGTAATTTGGCATAATATAATCTACATGTGCTGGAAACATCAGCTCAGGGCAGGTTGAGTGTTTTCTCTTCTATGGTGACAGGCAGACACACATTGAGCAGCAAACACACCGCAGTTCTTCTGTTCTCCTAACAGATACGGCAGTTGTCTGATGGATCTGCTGTACTTTATCATAGAACACTGTCCATATATCTGTGTATCTGGGGCATTCTGTTAGGAAGTGCAGCTCTGTTTCCATCTGATTCAGATCACCGTGTGAACACAATCTCTGCTCCGGTGGCAGCCATGTTTTTCTGTGTCTGCCTGTCTCTATCATCAGCTTGTGTCCGCTGAGTCTGTATCTGGTCAACGTGCCTTTCAGTTTCTTATCTGACACCGTGTACAGATACTCTGCCATACTGTACTCTCTCTTTAGGGCCAAATAGCATTGCACTTTACTCTGTTGTTGTGTTTGGGTTTGCCAGTGAGTGATGTAGTTCTGTTTGATTTGAGAAGTAATCTGCCTGATTCTGATGTTGTGATTCAGAGCAGCAGTAGATGTTAGTGAAGCATCAGGACTGAAGCTCTGGATCAGCTGAGGGAGGGGCTTGCTTTCTTTGCTCATCTCTTGGTATTGCAGGGCTTTATAATGATATGATCAGTGCCTAATGTAAATGTGTGTTGTGTTCCCTGGGATCTGGATCTTTCTGAAAGATCATAATTTTGGTTTTACTCCGGTTGACTGTCAGGGCCCAGGTCTGGCAGTATTCCTCTAGCAGGTCCAGGTTCTGCTGTAAAGCATGTTGAGTGGGAGACAGCAGAACCAGATCGTCTGCATACAGCAGGCATTTGATCTGTGAGTTGTGTAGGGTGAGGCCAGGGGCTGCAGATCGCTCCAGACTGCTCGCCAGTTCATTGATGTAAATGTTAAATAACATTGGGCTTAAGCAGCAGCCCTGTCTCACTCCATGCTCCTGGGAAAGATACCTCGTACGTTTGGTGCTGATTTTTACGCCACATTTACTTTGTGTACATTGATTTGATAAAGGTCAAACCTCCTATGCCACTTTCAATAAGTTTGTAGAATAGTCCTTGGTGCCAAATTGAGTCAAAAGCTTTTTTTAAAGTCAATAAAGCATGCATATATTTGACCTTTTATCTTGGTTAACATGTTTTTCAATTAGAGTATGTAATGTATAGATGTGATCAGATGTACGGTAATTTGGTAAAAATCCGATTTGACTTCTGCTCAGTACATTGTGTGTGGTGATGAAGTCTAATAGTCGAGCATTTATTATGCTACAGAATAACTTTCTCAGGATGCTGCTCACACAGATGCCTCTGTAGTTGTTAGGATCAAATTTATCTCAGTTTTTAGAGATTGGTGTTATCAAGCCTTGATTCCAGATGTCAGGGAAGTAACCTACACTCAGAAGCACATTGAATAGTTTTAGAATGGCCAATTGGAATTTACTGCTTGTGTGTTTTATCATTTTGTTTAATATCCCATCAGGTCCAGATGCTTTTTTGAGTTGGAGGAATTTATTATTTTTTTTCTTTAAGTTCTTTATCAGTTATTGGGAAATCTAATGGGTTTTGGTTATCTTTGATTGCTAATTCTAGTTTTTCCAGTTGATTCTTTTTTGGGTAATTAATTTTTTTCCATTTTTTGTTTTCAATTTGGATTGTTTTGCTGATTTTTCAAATATGTAATTTATATCTTTGACAGCAAGATTGACACCTTCATTAGTGTGAGCATAGGTGTTATTTAGAAAGTTATCTATCAGCGCTTGTATTTTTTTGGCTGCTAAGTGCTTTCTGATATTCTTCAGCGCTGTTTTAGCCCATCTAAATGGCTTTCTGATGTTGTACAGCTTACTGGGCTTTGTGTTAATGCTATTTTCTGTCTTTTTGAGATGCACAGTGATTTGACTGTGATCAGACAGAGGGGTTAGTTCTCTAACAGTGAATGATCTGAGAGATGAAGGATCTATGTCTGTTATCATATAATCAACTGTGCTATTACCCAGAGGTGAGCAAAATGTGAATCTCCCTAAAGTGTCTCCTCGTAACCTACCATTGATGATATACAGACCCAGGCTTCGACAGAGCTGCAGGAGGACTTTTCCATTCTTATTTACTATATCATCATGGTTATTTCTGTGGATATGGGAGAATGTGTTATTAATAGCAGTCAGTTTGTTGTTGATATATTTGCTCCCTTGTGCGTCGGTGAAGTCCGGCTGTAGTCCTGTTCTTGCGTTCAGGTCCCCGCAGATGAGCCCGTTTCCCTGGGCCTGGAAGTGGCTTGTCTCTTCTTCTAATGTGGAGAACATGTCTTCACTGTAGGGGGACTCTGATGGCGGGATGTATATGGCACACAGGAATATATATTTTCTGGATGGGAGCAGTTCCTTGTGGATTTTAAGCCAGGTGTAGTATTTGCCTTGCTTTACTGTGTTGATGTGGTTGTGGAATTGTGATTTTGTACCAGATTATTTGTCCTCCTGTGTCTCTTCCCTGTCAGACTGTGTTGAGTTTGTGATGGTAGGATGATTTCTCTGTAGTTGGGTGAGCAGCGGGTGATGGTGTCTGCCCTGCTCCATGTCTCCTGTAGAATTATAATATCCATCTCTTTGATGCTCTTCTGAAATTCTGTGTTTGAACTCTTTAGTCCAAAGGCTGTTGAATTCAAGCCTTGAATATTCCACATTGATATTGATAGTCATTTTAAGTGTGTGTGTGTGTGTGTGTGTGTGTATTACTCTTGTACGTTTATTTGACCAGTTTGGAGCAGATGATGTTGAGCAGGTGTCTTATATGATTGAGTTCTGCGGCTGCAGGGTTTTGTGGCTGTTGGACTTTCTCGCTCTCTCTCTCTCGCTCTCGCGCACACACACACACACGATGTGCAAAACTCCGCATTTGAACAGTCAATAGCAAATACTTAAACTAATAACAAAACATACTTCCAGTAGCTGATTCAGAAGCGCCAGATTGTCATAGCAAAGTCAGAATTACCTCCTCTCCTAGGTTCACGAAACGGTCGTCCAAAATGCATTGCTGTTCTGTTGTCAGAATCTTAAAGATTCCTAAATGTATCTACTTTCGGAAGGCCAAATAAAGTGCTTTTGCTTTCGCCTAGAAACACACAGCGTCTCCCTGACATGGCTGCTTCAACACTAACTGCGGTTACTGAAACCACGCCGCCTTTATTTGCGTGAACATTTGGGCGGCATTACGCAAATATTTCCACATAGTGACGTAGATATGTGAAGGCTTGTTAGAACGAGGCATTTTAGGGGGGCGTGGCAGAGTCTTAACTTTGATAAAGAATATCGCTTTGGTTTTGAGACTTTAGTCTTCGCAGCTTCAGGGATCTTATCTATGCACAATCAGCTTGTTACACTCCAAAGAGAAAGGAAAACTTGAAATCGCATCATATGACCCCTTTAAAAAAACGGACACAATATGGTAGTACGATTGAGTTCCTGTTTACCGTATTTGATGTGCTTTGTGTTTGTGTTTAGGACTGTCACGATTATGAAATTTGGCTGACGATTAATTGTCTAAAAAAGTCACGGCTATTGCGATTAATTGTCTGTTTTAGGGCTTTGATGATTATCACGTTTAATTGTCTGTTTTTATGGCTTTCATTATATGATTGTGATTAATTTAAGGGATCAGTAAATAATTATGATGTTATCTTTTAATCTTTGAGTTATTATTTTGCAGTGTAAGCAGGCGCGGATTAACGCACAGGCTTGCCTAGGTGTGCAGGGGCCTCGGATTGGCCAGGCTATTTTTTTATTATTTTAAATTTACTTCAGCGTGAACAAAAAAAAGACCCTCACTGGCCCATAAGAAACATTTAAAGGAGGATTTGTTGCAGAGCGTCTGACAAAATTAATGTCTTGTATTGTAGAATGCACGCTCAGCACTGCCGAGAGTTTGCGCGATCGTTAAATCAAAACCGATTTAGGCACACTCGCGCCTTGACGGCCAGCGGGACAGGACCACGGGAAGATGAGTCCCCTGCCAATCTGACTTTGCTGCAGCCTAGAATTAAACTGCTGGTTTCGTTTGGCCAGAGGAGAATGACACTCATTTGACACACGATTTCCCCGTTTAATACTGTAAAGCTGCTTTGACACAATTTGCATTGTAAAAAGTGGAAGCCTATATAAATAATGGTGACTTGACGCATTCTAAAGCGATTTTAATACAACGTGTTTTGAGAGCGACTCCCTGATGTGTGCAAATTAGTCTACATATTTAGGCTGTTATTAGTATGTAGGCTATAATGGGTTGTGTAGTTGTCTATAGCTTTGTATTATGTTTGAAAAATTTGGTCTCTATTTGCACTTGAAATATTGAGAGTAGCCTACTTTGATTATGGCTGTGCTTATTGTTTGCACTTAATACACTAAGAAAGACCTGTGTTTATTATTTATTTATAGTTTTTATTTCTATGTTCAATTTGTGAAAAGGACTGAAGTTAGGAGGTCAAACGTTCTAGAAGCTCTTAATTCATACAGTTCTAAGGTCTGAAGAGACTCGCATGAAATTATACAGGAGAGAAGCCAGTTAGTTCGTGGCAAAACCTCATACAGTGCTTGAGTGTTGTCTTTTTACGGCATATGATAATTCATACTCGTAATAAATAAATGTCATTTCAGTTCTACTTTCCAAGAAGATTTTTAGTTCGTGGCAAAACCTCATACAGTGCTTGAGTGTTGTCTTTTTACGGCATATAATTCATACTCGTAATAAATAAATGTCATTTCAGTTCTACTTTCCAAGAAGATTAGTTAAAACAATTCAAAATGCACCTGCAGACTATACAGTCATGTATTTGGTCATTGAGAATTTTTTTTAAATGTGTAAAAATCTCGACCTCGTCTTCTCGTGAACCCAATCTCGTGTCTCGTCTCATCTCGAGTTAAGTGTTGGCGTTAATGATAATCAAACAAGAAAAGATGAGGAGAAAATCACTCCCTTCTCTTGACAGAATAGTATTTGTAGCTTTTACAAGAATTTATATAGTGACAATTGTGCCCTACCATCACGTTCACATCTATGCAACCAATAAATAAATTACTAGTAGAGGAAATTGTGTGTGTGTACCAGTTTACCATACTACTGTGTTTGCGTGTGGACCATGTATGGCAGTAAAATAAATGCATTTCTCCAGTAAAGCATAATGATTAAGGGGGGGCCTAACACAAAGAGCAGCCTAGGGGCCCCTGACCACCTTAATGGGCCCCTGAGTGTAAGATTACATGGAGTATTCCAAATTCGAAGAATCGGCCAATACCGATCCAACACGGCACTTTTTTTTCTTCTTCTTTTTTTTTTCTTCTACACCACTACAGAATATCAATACTGTTTTTGTGGAACTAATGGTCACTCTTTTTTTTAAACCCTTTGTTAAACGCAATCCACTAAATACTTACTTCCTCATTACAGAGAAAGACTACATTTGAATAAAAATATATAAGCTATGAAATTAAACTAGCTGACTGTATAATTTAGCAGCAAAAACAATATCTTGGAAAAAAATCTTTGGTGCACATTATAAAATTTAAACATGTTTATTCTGTTAACTATTTGTATTCTTACAAAATACTTTCATGAATATAAGAGAATTCATGAGAAAAAGAAAGGCTTCTAATAATCTTTCTGTTTGTGATAATTCCTTCCTTCCTTAACTTAAAGTATTATAAAGGGAATATATCATCTTGGAGAGAGTTTTACCGTGCTGACTGTCGTAACTGAACGTGACGTGCTGTTTGAATGCTGAGCGGAGAATGACTGACAGCTGCAGCAGAAGGAAGATGAGTTTCTGTACATCTCAATTCTGTCCCTCACATTAAGATATGGAATGGCTTCAGATGAAATAGCAGGGCTCCAGACTGAGACCAAAAAAAATTGTTTTCTGCCTGTGCGACTAAATTTTTTGTGCGGTCGCGACCACCGCGTTGGTCAACTCATAAGCGCTGCAATTTCTGTTGCATATGAGAAACGGCAAACGAAACTGAAAGCATAACAAAACAGCTTTTAGAGAGTATACTCGCCGCGTCAGCACGAGCGCGAAGCTGCGTGCAGCAAAAATGATGCGCATATTGAGGAAACCATGAATGGTTTTCAAGCGAAAGTCAAGTAAAAGACCGCTTCTTAAGCCAGAGAAGGTGAACATGCTGGTATTCTTGTGGGGTGGGGGGGAACATGCAAGCACTGTCACCGTTAATTTTACTTTTGTTTTTCTTTTTGTTGTCATTTTTTAAAAACTCGTTATATTTGCTGTTTACCTCACATTACGCTATGGAGGCTCTCTTTTATTTGTTTATTTATTTGATTCCTCGGTGATTGCTAAACGTTCTGTAATTTATTAGTCGGTATGTAATATAGCATGTGGTGTGTGCCATGCCTCATCTTATTCGTTTTTGTTAATAAACGTTTTGTAAACTAGTGTGTCATTGTAACTTACTGATTTATTGTTGAGTTTTTTTAATTAAGAATAACAATGAATCCATCTTTTGTTTTAGTCTTAAACAATGAAAGGTGTGTGTGTAGATGTATGTAAGCAAAACAGTGACAACAAGATCGTGAAAGCATCCGAAGCCCGCGGCTTAACAGCAAAAAAGAAACTCCCATTCACAAAATTCAAATCACAAATAATACTACTTATGATAAAGAACGGGTTGAATGTTACCACTTTCGTTTCCATATAACTATAAACTATGATAAAAGTTAATCAACATGCATTGAATAATCCCATGTTGTAGCGCAAAAAAAATGTTATGACCAAATCATGTGCTCGTGCGACCAGTTGAGAAAGTTGCAAAAGAGCGACCAGTGGGAAGAATGAGTCTGGAGCCTTGTATAGGCTATACAGGGCATGGAAAAGCAAAATGGTGCTCTTCTGATTCTTTTGGTGTATAACTCCCCCTTGTGTCGTATAAAAAGCACAATAATCGCGGTTGTTTAGATCAAATATTCGCGATTAGACGGTTATTATCGCGACAGGCCTATTTGTGTTGTGCAATGTTTGCACGTGAATAACCTAATTCTATAAAGCCATTGTGTCTCTTCTTCAGAAGACTTGGATTAAACCTCCATTCATAAGGGTTATTTTTACAATGCTTTTATGAACTTTAGGCTTCAAAGTTTCAGTGAAATAGACTTTTATTGGAGGGACAGAAATATCTCCGGTTTCATTAAAAATATCTTTATTTGTATTTCTAAGATGAATATGGGTTTGGCAAAACATAAGGGTGAGTAATTCATATATTTATTTATTAGGGACTGTATCTTACATTTTTTTGGAGCATTTAATTGTTTTTCTATGTTTGTCAAGGTTTCTGGACACTGCTCACTGCTTTTTTCTTTTTCTTTTTTTTTTTTAGCTGTGTTATGGACAGTTCTGTGTTGTTTTATCAGGTGGTGGTTCTCACCACTAAGAGCGTTCCAGTGGTGGTGAAAAGGAGTGCCAGAGAGGTATCCTTCATTATCAACAACGCTGATCGCCGGCAAATGCGGCGCAGCTCACTGGTACGGTGGGACCCCAGCCTTGAGGATGTCCAAGAAGATTCTGACACTGAGGAGGATGAAGAGGAAAGTGAAATGGAGGACACCATTCTGGATGCTGAGGAAGAGAAGAAAGAGACTGTGCTGCTTGATAAGGAGGTATATGAGGTGAGATCTGGTACCTTGCACCATAAGTCACATGGTCGTTTTTGTTCTAAATCAGCCATAACTTTAAGTGCACACAAAACATATTTTAACTGTTTTATTTGTTTTTCATCCACTTAGGACACAAAAATATTGATGGATGTATTTACACTTTTAAATTGTTGCTGCATGTTTTTATGTTTGCATAACACTGAGATTTCTGCATCAATATGGCTGTTTTGTGTTTGTATTTTAAGGCCCAACTGCAGTTTATAGAGGAGATTCAGCAGCAGCTGAGTAAGGAGAAAGCTGAACACTTAGCTCTCGAGGCACGTGTTCGAGATGAAGTTACAAAAGAATACTCTGAGCTGATTTCCCAGATGCAGGAAGATTACAGGTCAGAGATCACAGGCCCCTGTGCTCAATTAGAATCAGAATCAGAATGAGTTTTATTGCCAGGTATGTTTACACATACGAGGAATTTGTTTTCATGACAGAAGTTTTTGTTAATGCCCAGTTGTAGCGGTGAATTTGTTTGTTTGTGTGTGTGTGTGTGTGTGTGTATAGGAAGAGAACCATGTCTCTCTAGACAGCATGCTTGACTCTATGACCAGTGACCTGGCTGGAATCAGACAGGATGCCCAGGCTGCCCAGTCCTGCTTGGTGACCTCCAACTCTAGAGTCTCTGTGACACTGCTAGACCTTAAAAAAAAGGTCATCGCACTTTCAGAACTGCTCAGTGAAACTCGGAATCAGCTGTCACTCAAAACACAGGGTAAGAAATGATTGGAGATCAGCAGACCCACAACAAATCTGCCCCTGAAAACTTCCACAGAAATCTTTTTTTTTTAGTGCATCCCCTGTCCTTTCAATGTTAAATATTTTTGCTATTAGGGTTCCCACTGTTCTGAAAAACCTGCAAATATAAATATAAAGTTTTTTCCCCCCAGGCCTGATGAAGTCATTTGATTTTGATTTAATTTTTTTAAGTCTTAAATGGTCATGGAAAATTTATTTTTTAGTAAAATTAGTATATTTGTAGTATCTCTGTTTTTCTTTTTCTCTCAGTTCTTTTAATATTTCTTCAGCTAGAAATTGCTTTTTGTGAGACCAAAAAATGATGGATAAGTCATGGAAATTCATTGGCCAGAAAGTGTGGGAAACCGGTGTAATGAGACACAGATGCTTTTTCAGTAGGATTATAACCACATAACACTTGCTTAGTGTTCACACTTCACCTTGCCAGGCTTTCTAATCGCTTGATCTAACACCAAGCCCCATACTCCCCCACAGAGCTGGAAACCCAGAGCAGACTGTCAGATGAACTGGAGGAGTTGATGAAGGTAAAACAGCCGCTGTAAAAGGTTTCTGTCATTTTAACAGACAATATGAGGACCAGACTCTGAGTATTTTTTATTATATTTTTTATCTTCAGAAACTGTAAACATCTAGTTGAAGTTGTGGCTTGTTCTTCTGCTTTTAGACTCTGGAGAGCCACAGGCAAAGGGAATGGGATCTAAGTGAAATGTGTAGGAAAAAGGATGAGATTGTTGCCAAACTCCAGACAGCTCTTGACCAACATGTAGAAAACACCGCTCAGGATGTGAGTGTGAACATCTAGAGATTGTTTTCAAATGTCCAGATTAATTGGATTTGCATTACCGTTCAAACATTTAGCGTCTAGGATTTTTTTGATGTTTTTGAAAGAAGTCTCTTATGCTCACAAAGGTTGTATTTATTGATCAACAATCCAGTAAAAACTAATATTGTAAAATATTACTACAATTTAAAATATTTTTTGTCTTTTAAAATAATCGTTTCAGCACAGTTGTGCTGCTTAATTATTTTTGTGAAAACCGTGATACATTCTTTGATGAATGGAAAGTTCAAAAGAACAGTATTTGAAATAGAAATATTGTTACATTATAAATGCATAACAGACAAAGCTTGCCCATTGTCACTATGAACTCTTGTGTAGAAAAGATCTGTGTTCAAAGTCATCAATTATTTTTCCACAAAATAAATAACATGACAGAATTGTCATTTTGGGCAAACAGTTCCTTTACAGTTTTGACACAATGCTTTTATTTACCATGTTTCTTTTTTCTTTTATTGTGGATTTCCAGAGAGCTCAAATTGATTCCATCAAAAAGCAGATCATCCAGCTTAAACACAATTGTACCTGCTCAGAGCAGCGGCCTGACACCCAGAGTGAAACCAGAAAGCGGCGGCAGGAATGGGAGGGGCTTGATGGACAACCCCCACTCAAGAAAGGTACAGACTCCGCAAGAGCCCCAGGAGCTGAAAAGTGCCTTCCCACTTTTGTCACAACCAGAGGGGCTGGCCGAGAGAATCGGGTTAAAGGCCGACGATACCTTCATTCTCGAAAATGGCTCTCGAACATAAAGAAATGATCATAATAAATATATTTAATAAAATGTTAACTCCATGCATAAGCCCTGTATATCAAATAATTCTGTGAAGTGTGCTGTTTTTATTTGCTCAACTGAATAAAGTATATTTATTTTACACATGGCGAACACTGCACAAAATTAAAAGCACTATAAGATGCTTGACTTTTATATCAAAAATTGTTACATTATAAATGCATAACAGACAAAGCTTGCCCATTGTCACTATGAACTCTTGTGTAGAAAAGATCTGTGTTCAAAGTCATCAATTATTTTTCCACAAAATAAATAACATGACAGAATTGTCATTTTGAGCAAACAGTTCCTTTACAGTTTTGACACAATGCTTTTATTTACCATGTTTCTTTTTTCTTTTATTGTGGATTTCCAGAGAGCTCAAATTGATTCCATCAAAAAGCAGATCATCCAGCTTAAACACAATTGTACCTGCTCAGAGCAGCGGCCTGACACCCAGAGTGAAACCAGAAAGCGGCGGCAGGAATGGGAGGGGCTTGATGGACAACCCCCACGCAAGAAAGGTACAGACTCCGCAAGAGCCCCAGGAGCTGAAAAGTGCCTTCCCACTTTTGTCACAACCAGAGGGGCTGGCCGAGAGAATCGGGTTAAAGGCCGACGATACCTTCATTCTCGAAAATGGCTCTCGAACATAAAGAAATGATCATAATAAATATATTTTATAAAATGTTAACTCCATGCATAAGCCCTGTATATCAAATAATTCTGTGAAGTGTGCTGTTTTTATTTGCTCAACTGAATAAAGTATATTTATTTTACACATGGCGAACACTGCACAAAATTAAAAGCACTATAAGATGCTTGACTTTTATATCAAAAACAGTAACAGAAATGTTATTATAGTATTAAAGCATCCCAGACACACATGAGGTGCTTCCTGTGTATGAACAGGAGGATTTCAGGCTGAGAAATTCCACATTTAAATACCCCTCTTTCATCTTCAGAATGAAATCAAATTGGAAATTAGAACTGAGTGCTGTGACTGGAATGACCTTCAATCATCTTCAGTTTCTAGCCTTAGAATCATGGGAAATAGAGTAGAATGTTAGTTCAGATTTATCGCACAATTCAATCCTCTTTCTGTCCTTTAGTTTATTATTAAAAATTATTATTATTGATATTCTTCATAAAACCAGCAGACCATCTGCTGCTGACCTAATCTGCACAGCCAACAGCCCTTTAATTGTCCTAATTAGTCATTAACAAGGCTCTAATTTTCCTCACTTACGCTTAACGATCAGTGTTCATTGTGCATATGCAGCAAAATTGCAGTCCTATTAAGCATATAGTTCTGTGTGTGAGAATAGATTTATATGTGTGTGTGGTTGAGCGTGCCTTGGCCTAACCTCACACACTCTTCTCCAGGCAACATAAACACTTGCGGACACTTGTTTTGGGAGCAATAACAATAATTATAGAATACACAGTAAGTTTATAGATTTCTAAAACCTGTTTATGGAAATGTAATTGAATTGTTCAGACAAAGGGATTACGAATACACAAGTACAAATCTACCATAAATGCTGACTAAACAGGGTGTTAACATTTTATTATATTACACTTTACAAGGGTAGCTATGCACTTAAGAAGTCTCTAGTCTGGGTAGGTCATGCTATTCTCTCCGAACACCACAGTGAAGATGTTATGTTGCACACTGAAAGAATGCTTTCCATTCCAAATAAATGCTTTCTTATTGTCAAAGTCAAGTCAAGTCAAGTCACCTTTATTTATATAGCGCTTTTAACAATACAGATTGTGACAAAGCAACTGAACAGCATTAGTGCTTTCTTATTGTCAAAGAATCGTGTGCTCTCTCGCCAGTTGTCCCTGGCAACAGAGTCACGCTTCCACATGCTCTGTAGCTTCGTGTGCTCTCTCGCTAGTTGTCCCTGGCAACAGAGTCACGCTTCCACATGCTCTGTAGCTGCTAATTGTTGGAGAGTTTTGTAATTGAATGGCACAAACTATTTTTAATGGTGCTTCTGTTCATTTGAAGAGGAAAGGAGGCAGAAGCAGTGTGGTGAAAAAGAAAGCATTCTCTGAACCCAGTTCTCAGGTACCCTCTTTCTGTTTAATCCTGTCATACCTCTTCCACCTTCAGGACTTCTAATGGTCTGGAGTCTCAGACACTCAAGGTCATGTTAATTTCCTCAGGTTATCCCACTGAGCTGGATATTGGAAGTATAAATCCATACATTTTATTTAGTATAAATGGAAGAATAAATCCTTTTTTTTTTTTTTTTTTTTTTTTTTTTTTTTTTTTTTGGCCCCCTCTATATTTTTTTCTTCACACTAAATCAATTTGGGCAAATCTGTGTGATGGAGGTGTTCCATTAAATAAGTTACTGGCAAAGTTTGTCTTTAAAACCAACATGAAACCCAAATGGACTATCTTTACTTTCTTAGAGGAACAGTTCACTAAAAAATAAGAATTCTGTTATTATTATTTCATCTTTGTGTCGTTCCAAACCTATGCTGTTATATTTTCAGTGGAACACGTAAGGAGAATTCTGAGGAAGCTTCTACTCCATGCAAAAAAAAAATCACCTAGCCAGTGAGATGTTTTGTTGTTGCTTTTGAAAAAAAAGGGGGGAAAAGTATCTTATGCTTAGAAAGTCTGCATTTATATGATAGAAAATACAGTGAAACATTTTACTGTTATAGTAAACATTTTAATTTTTTTTGTTCTTGCACGTTTTTTAGTCAGACATGTTTCGTTTTAGATTCTTCAGCACAAGAGTCCTCAGATATTTTTTAGTTCCGCAGAAAAAAATTTGTACACAATGATAGAATTGTCATTGTTGAGTCATCTATTCATTTAATACACATTCCTGGTCTTATTGTGTAGGGCTTTACTTCACACCTTACATCACCTAGCCAGTGAGATGTTTTGTTGTTGCTTTTGAAAAAAAAGGGGGGAAAAGTATCTTATGCTTAGAAAGTCTGCATTTATATGTTAGAAAATACAGTGAAACATTTTACTGTTATAGTAAACATTTTAATTTTTTTCTGTTTTAATATAGTTTAAATGCAAGTTTTTCTGTGATGGCAAAGCTGAATATTCAGCAGCCAGTCCAGTCTTCAGTGTCACAAGATCCTTCAGTGTATTCTAATATACTGATCTGGTGCTTAAAGTCCCCCTGTAGTCAAATATTTTATCCCTTAAAACTTATCTTTGATCATAAAAATTACATTTAAATGTTTTTTCTTGTGAAAATAATTTTCTCATGCCTTAAAATAGCTTGACTGTAACTCTACACCCTTGCCTCATTTACTATACGCGGATCTATGAATATGCAAATTAGTCCCGCCTCCACTTAGTCACACCAGCCAGCGCCTCCTGATCCACTGAACTGTAGTAACCGCAAAACAATGGCATACACGGATAATGACTGATAAAACTATGTTTTTACTAGCGGGCAACTACAGTGAATACTGTAACATTTGTTAAAGTTACTTACTTGACGATGTTGTGTCCTAAAATGCCTTGAAGACTGGAATGCAGCCGTTTGTGATCGTTAAGTCGCGCCCGCGAGCATTCGCATGTGAAGTGGGCTACTTTTACTCCGGGCTACTTTTACACTGTTGCCACGGGTTATAATGCAAGTTAGCGGTTCTAAATTCACATTAAACCACAGCTTAATGGGTTTTTTGCTCTGATTTATTTTTGGTTTTGTGTTGGTATTGGTATATTTTGCATGCTAGTGATAGGAATCGATCCCTTGACGTTATTGGTTATTGGTTTGTGACGTAGCAAACCAAGGGCTGTTTCAAACCATATTTCTGAGTCAGCCTTTGGGAAACTGCAGTTTTAAGGAGAAAATACACAGCAATGGTGTTGATTAATAGATTGGCACATGGTTTGTCTAAAAGCATATTAAAAACACCACATAGACAAATAAACAACATAAAAAACTTGATTTTCACTACAGGGGGACTTTAAGAAACATTTCTTATTAATAAAACAGTTGTGCTGATTAAGATTTTTGTGGAACCTGTGGTTCTCTAATGCAGTGGTTTTCAATCCTGGTCCTAGGGACCCTCTGCTCTGCACATTTTGTATGTCTCTCTTATCTGACACACTCAGCTGAGTTCATGGAGTTCTCACCTAACGAGCTGGTGATCTGAATCACCATGTGAGGGAGACAATCTGAATGTGTTAAATAAGGGAGACATACAAAATGTGCAGAGTGGTGGGTCCCCAGGACCAGGACTGAAAGCCACTATAATGAATAGGAAGTTCAAAACAGGGGTCTCCAAACTTGGTCCTGGAGTGCCGGTGTCCTGCAGAGATTAGCTCCAAACCAGCTAATCAAGGTCTTACTGGGCATACTAGAAACTTCTAGGCAGGTGTGCTGAGGCAAGTTGGAGCTAAACTCTGCAGGACACTGGCCCTCCAGGACAGTTTGGAGTTTGGAGACCCTTTGTTTAAAAGAACAACATTTTTTTGTAAAAGTCTTTATTGTCACTTGTAAACAATTTAATGCATCCTTGCTGAATAGAAGTATTAATTTCTTACTGACCCCAAACTTTTGAACAGTAATATATTTAGTCATTGTTTTAGATACTGTTAGTGGTAGTGCAACCTTCCTGATTCCAGTTAATGTAATAAAGGACACCGCAATAATAAATAACAATAGATTTGAAAAAGTGTTACCATTGGGATATATCAAAATTATTTCCATGTCTCCTCAAAAAGTGCATGCAGCTTTAGTAGTCATTATCTATTGCAAACTGAAATTATGTCTGGCTCTATTCTTAGATGAAATTCCCTGCTTATTTACAATCCAATCTATTTCTGATGGGTAAAATCTAGTTTATTCTGTATTTTATTTTATATATATTCTGTTTTACTCTGAAATGTGTCCCATTACGAAAGTAAAGTTTGCAAATGTTGTTTCATGTTGACTTTAAAGGCTCAGTTTTAGCTTCCAAACTCATTTACTAAAAGCAGAACATGACCTAGACCAGACCTCTTTGATTGAAGTACCTATAAAGTCTAAAAAAGGAGAAATTAAATCCTACCAGTAGTCTTATTAACCCTTTAAATTTTCTAATAAAGTTCTGTGACCATTGAATCCAGGCCATTTGGTTAGAGTTCCTGATGGTGGAAATTTAACTCATGAGTCATTATCCCACAAACCTTTGATGCATCAAAGAAATAATAACCTCTCTATCAAGGTGGTTATGTAAATGGAGTAGGGTTTGCTATATGGTTTTACAGATCCATTAAGGTGATATTATCTGAAGAGCCATCCATGTCCTCAGTGACAAGGCATTAGTTTCTTCATGAAGCCTAAACGACAAAGGCTTTGGGAGATAATGCTCTGTAGAATTTAAAATAGACCCATAATTCATCATTCACTCATCAAATCCTCAAGGTCATGACCTTTCACATTTTAGCTCCAAACCAGCTAATCAAGGTCTTACTGGGCATACTAGAAACTTCTAGGCAGGTGTGCCAAGTTGGAGCTAAGCTATGCAGGACAGGACACTGGCCCTCCAGGACAGAGTTTGGAGACCCCTTGTTTAAAAGAACAACATTTTTTTGTAAAAGTCTTTACTGTCACTTGTAAACAATTTAATGCATCCTTGCTGAATAGAAGTATTAATTTCTTACTGACCCCAAACTTTTGAACAGTAATATATTTAGTCATTGTTTTAGATACTGTTAGTGGTAGTGCAACCTTCCTGATTCCAGTTAATGTAATAAAGGACACCGCAATAATAAATAACAATAGATTTGAAAAAGTGTTACCATTGGGATATATCAAAATTATTTCCATGTCTCCTCAAAAAGTGCATGCAGCTTTAGTAGTCATTATCTATTGCAAACTGAAATTATGTCTGGCTCTATTCTTAGATGAAATTCCCTGCTTATTTACAATCCAATCTATTTCTGATGGGTAAAATCTAGTTTATTCTGTATTTTATTTTATATATATTCTGTTTTACTCTGAAATGTGTCCCATTACGAAAGTAAAGTTTGCAAATGTTGTTTCATGTTGACTTTAAAGGCTCAGTTTTAGCTTCCAAACTCATTTACTAAAAGCAGAACATGACCTAGACCAGACCTCTTTGATTGAAGTACCTATAAAGTCTAAAAAAGGAGAAATTAAATCCTACCAGTAGTCTTATTAACCCTTTAAATTTTCTAATAAAGTTCTGTGACCATTGAATCCAGGCCATTTGGTTAGAGTTCCTGATGGTGGAAATTTAACTCATGAGTCATTATCCCACAAACCTTTGATGCATCAAAGAAATAATAACCTCTCTATCAAGGTGGTTATGTAAATGGAGTAGGGTTTGCTATATGGTTTTACAGATCCATTAAGGTGATATTATCTGAAGAGCCATCCATGTCCTCAGTGACAAGGCATTAGTTTCTTCATGAAGCCTAAACGACAAAGGCTTTGGGAGATAATGCTCTGTAGAATTTAAAATAGACCCATAATTCATCATTCACTCATCAAATCCTCAAGGTCATGACCTTTCACATTTAATTGGAGGAAATCATTGTGATCGTGCAATACCTTCACCCTCGACACCTCTGAATTATTTTAATTACACTTTCCCATTTCATGGCAGGGAAACACTAGCACCAGACTGCAGAACAAGCCATCAGTCTTGATTCCTCACGCATTACCCTCGGATACGATTGAACAGTGAACGACTTGGCAGGTTCCTGGAAGTCAGGGCATTAGTCTTTCTTTAATGCAAGCTTGCAAGTCAGAGAGTAGCATAGTATCTCACCTCTCAACACTGGAAACAGCAGGTGAGAGGTGTGACAGACAGAGATCCGCCCCGTCCGTCCCATTTAGACTGGCGGGGGTTACGAGTGTGGCATTGGTTGTCACATGCAATGTCACAAATGTGATCTTGTTGTCTAGCGAGAGAGAGATAGCGACAGGAAGGGAGACAGGTTGGAGAGAGAGAGAGAGACAAGAAGATACTGAAAATGATGAGTCACTGGAGAGAGACTAAGAACATTTTCGGATGGAATCAATTATTTATTATGCAGATTTGATTTTTTTATTTATTTTTTGGTCCCTATTATTTCTTTGTTTGTTTGTGTGTGTGTGTGTGTGTGTGTGTGTGTAGAGAGAGAGATTGAGAGGGATATGGCAGATGCTCTGCTGTCTTATTAATGATGATTCAATGCACTGCACACTAGATCTGTCAACTAATCCTCAGGGGTTTGTGCTCTTTTGAGTGTCAAGAATTTTATTGCCACTGACCTGAAACCAATTTGTGTTTTGTTAGGATTAAAGATTCAGATCAGAGAGGCAGACACCCAGTGCTATGTTTCTCCATATGCATTTAGCATTTAATGTTCTACGATTCCCTGTTGATCAAAACATAATCTCAGTAACACTTTTTTTCCTTGAAGTAACATCCATCACATCTTATCTGACCAATCACAGCCAAGCATTTAGATTCTGTGTTCTGTGAAGTGCACATTTATTTTGGCACCCATATTAAGTGGTTAACTTACATCATCCATGCTACACTCTTATTTATGATCTTTTTCACATGCAGTGATTGACGCACAAAAAACATTTTATTCAGTAAATCTGACCGAATTCATATAAGCAATTTATAGCTACACTTTGGAGTTTGGGTCCAATGTAGACTTATTACCATTTAGATGTATGCTACTGTTCAAAAGTTTGGGATTGGTAAGATTTTCGTATTGTTTTTGAACGAAGTCTTATGTTCACAAAGGCTGCATGTAAAATGTAATTTATTCCTGTGATGAATTTTCAGCAGCCATTACTCCAGTCTTCTGTGTCATATGATCCTTCAGTAACCATTCTAATATGCTGATTTGATGGTCAGGAAACATTTCTTCTTATTATCAATGTTGAAAACATTTGTGGCACTTAATATTTTTGAGGAAACCGTGAATTGTTTTTTCAGGGTAATAGAAAGAACAGCATTTATCATTGGTAACATTATAAATGTCTTTACTGTTACTTTTTGACAGTTTAATGCTTTTTTGCTGAATAAAAGTAGGCTATTCATTATTTTAAAAAGAAAAAAAATCTAACCTCAAACATTTGAACGATAGTTAGATTTCATGCTGGTCAAGTTTATAACATTCTTTATGGCCCACTTCCAATAACCATTTTATAAAATAAAATAATAGGCTTTGTTTAAATAAACATTCAATTTGTAAGCCAGGAATGACTTTCTATACAGATGCATAGGTCTGTTACACAGCAGAAAACACGGTTAGTTTGAAAGAACAATGTGAACCTGTTGTAGTTGTTGCTTTGCTTACACTTCACAGACACAAAATGCGTGAAACAGGCCTAAAAGAAACCAAAGCATTTATGTTAGCCTTCCGAACTCTGAAATACTTGTTTACTCTAGCACTCTGCCATTCCTCAGGATGGGGTGGAAAGTGACAACATCAGGAATATAAGGAGTATAATGACTCCTCGCCTACCGCCTCATCAGGAAGAGGTGAGTGACCACATTCTAATGCTCAAGCACTAAGTAAATTTTTTTTTTTTTAAATCAGGGACAATAATAGGTGTTCCATCATGGTATGTAAGACTCTCTCGCTCTGTCTTTCTCTTTGCGTCTGAGAAAGAAGCAAAGTGACGGCGAGGCGTGCGCTTTCACACTAAAGTTTACGGTATGCGAAATACAGGTGCGCTGCACATCCATAGAGATGAACTGAAAAATAGCTAGATCGCTTGACAGAGAAAACTCGGAAGCGCTTAGTCAGTGTTCTGTGAGTGAAAATATATCTGTGCTTAACTTATACTTGGCCTCCAACTCACACACTGGCGAGTAAAATCTAAGAATTGATTAGCCACTTTTTATCAATTTATTTAATATAAGCATTCATTTCTTTAAAGAAAAGAAAAAACTTTCAGACCCCAAACTTTTGAAAAGTAGTGTACTTTATGCTATAAATGTGTACAATGAATTTCAACTTAAAATGACATTAATGTTCTTTAGTGACAGTTGACATTTGACCTTCCTTGTAGATCATTGGCCGGAATCCAGAGAAGAAAGAGAGTGAAAACCTTATCATGGCCTCCAACTCACACACTGGCGAGTAAAATCTAAGAATTGATTAGCCAGTAGCTAATATTAGACATAATTTAGTCGCCCAGAGTGAAGATTTAGTCGTATATGCGAGTGATTTACTCGCGTTGTAGAGGGTTGTCAAGAAACATTTCTTATCAATGTTGAACACCGTTTTGATGCATTTTTTGCATGATGCATAGGATTTTTTGTTAAATAAAAGTTCAAAAGAGCAGCATTTATTGGAAATAGTCACTTTTTATCAATTTATTTAATATAAGCATTCATTTCTTTAAAGAAAAGAAAAAACTTTCAGACCCCAAACTTTTGAAAAGTAGTGTACTTTATGCTATAAATGTGTACAATGAATTTCAACTTAAAATGACATTAATGTTCTTTAGTGACAGTTGACATTTGACCTTCCTTGTAGATCATTGGCCGGAATCCAGAGAAGAAAGAGAGTGAAAACCTTATCAAGAAACGTCTTCGTCCTATGACCGCGAAATAAGCTGGAAGGAAATGTATTTTTATTTAAATGTTTTTTTTTTTTTTTGTATTTTAAATCAAACCAGTTTTTCAAATATTTTTTATTTTAATCTGATGCACTTTTCATTTACAATATCTATAAATTCTCTTTTTACTTTTTATCAAATATGGCACATAATATATTATCCTGGAAATGAACTAACGCTACCGCTGATTTTAATGGCAAGTTGAGATGATGGACAGTTTCATAAGCTCATGTATGGAAGAATGGACAAATTTTTGCTGCTTGAGTTAGAATGGAAGTTCAGAAATCACTACTGCACATTTTTGACATAGGGTTTCCTATTGCTGTATACTTAAACCACGTTATTTGTTTACATTGTGCTTATGCTGCCCTGCATGTAAAAGCAAAACTATTGTTTCCCCCTAACCACTTTATACTTTTCAAGATATAAAAATGTACACACACAAAATATAGCACAAAGTAAAAGTTCAAGGGTTTTTGTGATTTTAATTTTTCATCCCACTTGTCAACCTTCTTTTGTTTATGTATGTATCACCCTGTCACAAACCATTAATATGTGCCATTCACATGATAAAGGCTCTCCATTACCCCGTCAGTAAAACTGTGTGCCAGATGCCTAATGACACCCAAAGGATTATTTGTTTGAAATACTGAACAAATGCTTATGTAACAGACGGGTAATTGAATTTCCCGATCGCAGCACGTGGCCCCGTGCCCTTATCTAAGATGGCATAAAAGGAGAGAGGGGAAGGGTGAGGAACTGGGAACAGGTCTATGTTGTTGTTGGCTCTGAATGACAGGATGTGAACGGGGCTGCTTGCAATGATGAATCACGGTTTTGATGGTGTCAAAAGTGTGGGAGCATGTGGAGAAGACAAAATAGAGGAGTGAAAACCGACTGTGTGAGTAGGAGGAATAAGGAGAGATGAAGAGGAGGAAAAAAACATACAAAATGAACCATGTGCAGCCCAGCTGTGCTTGTGCAGGTCATTGAAGTGCAATTTTCCTTTGATTTCATAATTGTGAATGTTAGAAATGGGGTGTGAAAAACTTCATAAACAGTCTGTTTTCTTTACATGCCTTTATGTATGTTTCCTTCCGGTCTACTTCTGCACGCGTGCATGATGTACATATAGATGTTTATGTGCTTCCTAGTTAATGTAGGGTCATGACAGACCGTAATCATGAATTATATGTCACTGTTGTTTTTTTGTTTTGTTAGCGCAAAGTGAGTCATTGTCCGTGTCATTTGATTGCGTCACTTAATTGACGCATTGACACACAAAGTCTAGTCATTTTATTTTGTTTTCCTAATTTCTTTTTATCTCATTCCTCTGCATGCAGAAAATGACGGGGAGGCATGTAAGCATCAGCTTGATTCGTAGCATCCAGGCCTGGTAAACAATGCAGTAATAATCATCTGTAGCTATAATTTAGGGCAGAATATTACCACATCATTTGAAATGATAAATAGGCAGAGTGCAGCGCTATCTTTCCTGTCACTCTGTCATGTGCTGAAGAGACGGAAGAATCGAGAGCCTGTGGGGATGGGTCTAATTGCTTGGCCTCATCAGGAGATGCACTTTAAATAGGTTTTAGACAAAGTAGTGAGTTCATCGAGAGGAATGCTGGGTGAAGACTTCAACTTTGTGTATCTGATTGCTTTAATCCAACCAATTTGTTCAGACTAAGAAAATTGATGCTTGTGCCATCTTGCCCTATTTGTGCCAGGGTGAGGATGAGTGACTATAATTTATACTGTTCAAATGAAGTGTGAAACATCTTGGTTGTACATGCATGCTGAAACAATAAAAATCGGTGTTTAAAAAATGACCAGTGGTGAAACTGGTGGTCACCCACACAGAGTTCACAAACATTTTTTGCATCAAAAGGCACATGAGGTACACTAAAAAATTTTTAAAAAAACTTAGGCCTTAATTTAAGATTTCTGTATTTGAATTGCATATATAATTTACATCCAAACATTTTTACAGACTTAATGTGATGCGTATTTGTGAGTCACACATAAAGTAGCAGATAGAGAAGAGATTTATCATCAATAAATCTTATTTATTTCAAGCTCATACATTTAAACTAATTGAATGTTGCTTGTTCCAAAGCAAGCAATATTTTGTTCATACTTTTTAAAGGGGTCATATGATGCAATTTCAATTTTTCCTTTCTCTTTGGAGTGTTACAAGCTCTTGGTGCATAAAGAAGATCTGTAAAGTTGCAAAGACTAAAGTCTCAAATCCAAAGAGATATTCTTTATAAAAGTTAAGAGTCAACCATGCCTACCTAAAACGGCTCGTTCTAACATGCCCACACATATCTACGTCACTATGTGGGAAGATTTTCATAATGCTGCCCAAATGTTCACGCAAAAAAAAGAAGGCGTAACTTTTATTCTTGCTGTAGTATTGTTGTTGCCGCCGCCTCCATGTCGTGAAGGCGCTGTGTGTTTCGTAGTTTCGTGAAAGCGAAACTACTTTGTTTGGTCTTCCAAAAGAGGACGATATCTGCTTCGTCATGCCTAGAGCTGATCCGTGCTGGTCGCTGAGGAAATACATCAACTTTGCGCTGTGGATCGCCGGATCGGCTTTCACCGTGGACGAAGCGGAGTCCAGCCCGGGGTCGTCACATGTAGTTGCCGCAAGCCTGCCGGACACTCCTTCGTTGAATCCACTGGCCGCGCCGTTCTCAAGTCCGCCGGCCTCCGCTCACTCAAGCCCGCCGTGTGAAGCTGTGTGTTTTGTTGCGAAAGCGAAACTACTTTGTTTGGCCTTCCAAAAGAGGACACAATTACAAATCAGTGGTTAAGTTATATTTACAACACTGTTCCAGAACAGTTCAACCCAAATATTCAGATGTGTGCAGCGCATTTTATGGAGGACTGTTCCTAATCCTGGGATACAATGCCGGCCGTTCTGACTCACAGTCTGTAAGTAAGTTTTCATATTTAAAGGATTTGCCACTGATGATTCAAATGTGAGTTTTGGGCAGTGTAGAGTAGCGCTTGTTGTTTGTCATTTTTCCGATCACAAATGCAGACATGGTGTTAGGTTGACACGGTACGATGCAACGCAATGCATAAAAAGACAGTATAAGTCATTATAATCCGTAATTATGTCCCCACTGGATGCAACAAATGCCTCGTTTGTAATGTGTTTTATTGTTTTTGTCTCTTTGCTCCGGCCGGGACAAGGCATCACAGTATGGTAAGGGGCATAACATTTCCGTCACACACTTGAGGAATTCGGTCAATCACAATGCACTGGATAGCTGGCCAATCACAGCACACCTCGCTTTTCAGACCGATGAGCTTTGTAAAAATCGAGCGTTTCAGAAAGGCGGGGCATAGAGGAGAAAAATAATGTACAGTAGGCCTATGTGGAAAATAATGTGTTTTTTTAAACTTAAACTGCATAAACACATTTCATTACACCAAATACACAAAATAATGTTATTTTTAGCAGCGTCATATGACCCCTTTAACTGAATACATTTAATTCACAATGAACAGATTTATGCTGATTCTAAGCAATTTGAATAAATGCATTTTGATATGATTATTGATTCAATTTATGATTAAATATGATTATTTAAAATCAAATAGATAGTCAAAAAATACAAATAGTTAATAAACTATGCCATGTTTTTTTTTTTTTTGAGTGCAGAAATCGTGCCTGTTTTGTATACCTTTTAATTTAGGCTATACATAACTGACAAGTATGCATGGAAATTTTTATAGGCAATTCAAATACATAAATCTTAAATTTAGGCCTAAATATATTTTTAATGGCACTGCGGAATGAAAACATCAAAGGGTCTAGAGGTGCGTTTTTATTTTTACTTTAATTTCATTTTTAATTAACTTTTTATTTTAAAAGTTGCATTTCTTAAAACACGCGGCGCTACTGTCAAAGACGTCAGTCTTGCATGTTTAAAGAAATATTTTTAAAACCTTTAACAGTCAAGGATGTCCATATTACGCCTATAGAAAAATAATGAATTATGTGTGAATGAATTTGTTGTGTTGGAACTGTACGTAAGTGGACCTCTATTTATTTTTATATAAAAGCAAATGTGAGCATTTCTTCAGCCTAGGAACGGCTGGTCACAGCTACTGTGCTTAGGTTCCTTTTAATTCTTTCCCACAGCAGTGACACATTTGTGTGTGTGTGTGTACATGTTTTTCTACACTGGTGGGGACTTAAACCTGAATACACAACAACTCACCGTGTCACCGTGGGGACCTAAATTGATGTCTCCATGGGTACAGAAGCTTATAGATCATATAGAATGAGTTTTTTTTTGAGATTGTAAAAATGCACAAAGTTTTCTGTGAGGGGTAGGTTTAGGTGTACGGTTGGTGTAGAGAGATAGAAAATACAGTTTGTACAGTATAAAAACCATTACGCCTATAGGGAGTACCCACAAGGATAGTGAAACAGACTGTGTGTGTGTGTGTGTGTGTGTGTGTTATAAAAGCATTTAGCACCTGCTGTTACATACTTTTCACACCTCCAGCACCAATCACATCCAATCAAATTCAGAGTGATTCTGGACATTGTGTACTTACCGTCTCCAAACATAATGGATTTATTAGCGTGTTGTGTGTTTGGTCTAATAACCCTTGATGAATGTACATGCTGGGCCTTTTATTACGTCACACAAGCAACCCACCATATCAATCTATATTAGAAATGTGTAATGTTTTTAAAAGCAATGGTGATAATATTGTTTAGGTTTAAAGTACTTTGTAATACCATGGTATTCTGTGAAGAGGATGGATGGATGGATGGATGGATGGTCTTGCCAGGTGTTGTAATTCCTGTTATCTGAACTATCTGAACTCTGGCTCATTGCTGGCACATTTTAATTATAGTTCAATGGAGTTTGCCTGAACTCAGCAAGTCTGTGTCTGAATGTACGAAGCAGCTAGGGTTGTCACTGCAAAGATGACCCAGAAAGACAACAAACTCTGTGTCACCTTTAATTTTCCCCCTCACTTCATTCAGATGTTGTTCGATAACTCTCCCTCCCCCAC